CTTTCCTTGTGAGCCGCTTTCTCTAAGATGTAGTTGAATTCTTTTTCTTTTTCTCCGCTCATGATATCTGCCAGACCTCCGCTTCCATAACCACCATTCCTCTGCCTTTCGCAAGCCTCCTCCTCGCATCTGCCCGACCGCCCTTTCCCCGCCTACGACATCTTCTCTTCTGACGCGCTTCGCCTCTATCCACTCCCCCTGGATTGATCCTGCCCTGCTCGCCTGCTGCCCTGCCCCCCTCTGTTCTGCTCTCCGTGTCATCCACTGTCTCCTGCCCTGCTTTCCGATGCCGCCTCCCTTCGCTCTGCACCTCAGCCTCACCCTTACACCTCTCTCCTCCTCCTCCGGTCCCTCTCTGTCCCCTCCCCCGCTCCGCCGCTGGCGCCGTCACGAGGAACTTCGCGTGGGCACATTAGTAAGAGTTAACATGTTAGCTGCAAAGAGTTAACATCCGCTGGCATGAGAAAGAGAAGAGTAAATTTGGGATTTAAGCCAGCTGACATGTTTAATCATGAGCTGACATGTCTAATCAACTACTAGCATGAGTTGAAATCATGATGGAGGGGCCTTGGGCACATTTTTTAAAAAAAGGGGCTAAAGCACATTAAAAAAATAGGAGGGGTTGGGGCACATTAAAAGTTCAAATTTGAGGCCTAGAAGCAATTTTCCTTAGTTACTAACACTGTATATATTTGTTGGCTCTGCCAATAACAAAGTTAAAAAATTAGTTAAGTTATGAAAATAAGGTATCACTGGTTGTGGGTGATTTGTTGTGAGCACAAATAACGGGTTTTGCATATATACCCCTCGAATTTAGAAATAATTTAAAATAGAAGAAGAGCTAATATAAACCAAAAACTCTTTGAAAATCCATTTGAACAAAAACGTAAAAGCTCTAGTTTTCATCCAGTCATATGATGATCATTTGTTGATTATGGCTAAAAAGCGCTTAAATACCTTACGATAGCCCTTGGGTTGCACTTATATACCCTTATTTGTTTTCTTCAACACTTTTAAACGCTAAAGTTTCTTGATCGTCCACTTTAATACGCTCTGCAATGAAACATGAGAATTTTATTCTGAAATTTCCATGTGAAATTCGCAAGCTAAATATATTATTTTTTCATCCTTAATATCTGTTGAATTTACTGTTACCTATACCCTAATTATATTTTAAATTTATCTTAATTTTTTTTAAATAGAACTGCGATTGGCTTAACAATAAGTTCAAAAAAAATATTAAGGGGTAAAAGGTTCTAAAATTATATTATCAATGTCGCATGAGAGTATTCTAAAAAATTTCTCACATCTACATAACATAAATTATTAAATTGTAACTTATCGAGAATTCAGGTATATAAATGCTCCCGAAAACAATTGAGAATTAATAATTGCAAACTAGGAAAACTATAGGGCACTTAAGTGGCAATTAGCCTTGATTTTGTTTGACCACTGATTCCCTCAAGCGTCCAACTTTGCGGCATCTCAAATCGAACGGTAACCGACCAAACGGACCCCAATATCGGACCCAGTGGCAAGATTCGCGGGACCCACTTCTACCCGCTTAAATTCCTCATCCAACAACCCAAAAATCTCGCCTTTTTGTTTCTTTCCTTTGGCCTCCCTGTTCAAACATTCCAGCCAAAATCCCTCAATTTTCTTCTCATTGTGTCGAATCAGATAGCGATGGATTCTTCTTCTTCTTCCTCCTCGAAGAATTCTACCCTCAATGGAGTTTTCAGATGCGGCATCTGCTTGTACGGCCCCCAGACATTCCATTTTCTTCCAATTTCCATATTTAGCTTATTATTGATTTTTATTTTATTTTATTTTTTTGAAAAAGTTTAAATCTTTAGGTTCTTTTGGGAGTAAAGTTGGGACCTTTGTTGGATTTCTGTATTGATAATTAATGATATAAGTGAGAATAGCAGTCGAGTACTCAAAATGGAAAAGGAGGAAGAGGGGGAAAAAAAATCTAATTGTAGTTGTACCTGTAAATTTCTTCTATTTTTATATATTCATCACTTTGTTTTTTATTTGCAGGGATCTCCTCTACAAGCCAGTTGTTCTCGGTAAGAAAATTTTGCTAGTCCTCTTAACTTTGTAATAAAGAAAATTATCAAGTATAATACTAGCTCTGCAGGTTTAAAGTTATCAAAGTTCTACAACGTGGGATTGAAAAGGCAGTAGGCCTGAGGATAATAACTTGGGAGCTGGAAACAATCTTACATGTGTTGTTCGTACTAATCTCGATGTTTTATTGATAACTCTGATGCGATTTGCAACGTTATTAATTTGATTACTAGTTCTTTAGAAATCGAAGTATCGGTTTAAAACAGTTTTTATTTACATAGAATTGGCTTTGAATTTCTTATTACACACAAGCAAAGTCCTAATATTGTACAATTTTTTTTTACTAATAGAAATCGAACATGCGTACTTATTTTATTTCTAAAATTGCAGCATGTGGCCATGTTTCTTGCTTTTGGTGTGTACACAAAACGATGCATGGTCTGAAAGCATCCTGTTGCGCAATCTGCAGGCAACAATATTACCATTTTCCTACAATCTGTCATTTACTTCATCTATTGCTTCTGAAATGGGAACCTTTGCTCTATAAATCAAGAGAGAAGGAAATACTTGGTGAGCTTCCAAAGTTTGATCAATAGTTTTGTCATTTTCCTATTTTCACATAATAAAGTCATTTATTATGTCTGGTCACAGAGGAAGAACATGTTCTTGGATACTTTTCACCTCGGTTTGTAGACCATCCCTTCTATGGAAATGGTGCTAAAGGTGAAGTCTCAGTTACCTTTGCTTGTACTCTATTGATTGAGTTATTTTCTGTTGACGGCTTATCTTCCATAATTCATAGATGACAGGGATGTACACGAGGCCTCAGTGGATGATGTTCTATGTGCCAGGTGCAGTAAAATGCTACTCCGGCCTTCTGTGTTGAACTGTGGTCATGGTGAGTTTAATAGCCATAGATGTGGAATTTTACATTAACTGACAGTTTAAGTGAGAAAACAATGTTTATGTTTTTACAGTGTATTGTCAATCTTGTTTGTGCTTCACTGTTGATGGACTTCTAAGGTGTCAAGTTTGCGATAGTGTACATCCGGGTAATTTTCCCAAAGTTTGCCTGGAGATGGATCATTTTCTGGAGGAACAATTCCCAAAAGAATATTGTGCCAGGCGTGAGAATTTGCATGATAGGAAGTCACAATTTCAACATGCAGATCTATCATTAAGTAAGTTTTAATTGCAACCCTTTTCCCTAGTTGTTCCAGTGACTGATCGAGATGTTTTTGGTCCAAAGACCAGTGAATAAGATCCTCTCATCATACATTTTGATCCAATCCGATGACAGAATTGAAGTGTAGGTCTTGCAAAAAGTTTCTGATCTCATGATATATTGCATTGGGTTCTAGTTTTCCATTATATATATTGTATTGGGTATAGTTTTCATTCTCATGATAGAATAGTTTCTGACAGTGTAAATGCATTATGCAAATTGCTCAAGCTTTATCAATTATTTAGAATTCTCTTTCAGTCCTCTTTATCAAGTCAGCTACATATGTACCGTGTGAAGTTTATTTGAATGATTGTATAGTTTGTATCTTTCGTGCTATACTTAAGTATTCATCATCCATCTAGAAAAAAATTGTTTCTTCATTGTGAACGTTGAAAATCTGCATGTATTTACCTTTAACAAAGCTGTTATATTTTGTAGGTACTTTACAGATTCAAGAGCAGAATGTGCAATCATCTCTGCATGCCAAGAACGAGAATCTAATCTCGCAACAAGATCTGCAGAACACTAACATCAGAATAGGCTGCGATATATGTGGGGTAAGTTTCTTTACTAACGTGCACAATTTCCTAACAACTAAGTTATTATTAAGGATAAATTTCACAAAGGATAAATTTTTGAAATGGACACATTTTAATATTGTATTCACAGAAATTGACTCACTTCAATTTTATTTATAAAAATAGACTCAGTTTGAGCCACGTCAGCATCATTGCTTAAGTAGAGTCGATTTAAAAAAATATTACTAATTAGCCGGAGTTGGAAACCCTACTTAATTAGCGAAGATAATTAAGTTTAAAATAACCTTGGTTGGTAGTTATAGCCATTTTTTGAACTAAGTTCTAAATAGCCCTGGTTGCCAACCTCGATTTTTTTGAACTTTGATCTGCTAATTAGGCAGGGTTGGTAACCCCGTCTAATTAGTAAACTTGTTTTTTTAAATCGACTCAATTTCACCCAACAATGTTTACGTGGCTGAAACTGTGTATATTTTTGTAAATAAAATTTAAGTGAGTCTATTTTTTTGAATAAATATGAAAATGAGTCTATTTCAAAAATTTCTTCTTTCACAAAAACTCTGTACTTCGGTGTGTTTTGCATAAAGACCTCCTTATCATTATTAATTAGAGAAAACCCCCTAAACTTTCAAAATTTCAGAAACCCCCCCGACCTATTAGCCAGTAATTACATCGAGGAAATATATGTACACTGCCACCTGTTAACTTATATTTATGTATTTGAAATCTCGCAAAGGACATTTTCGTTACCAGTACTAAGTTTGTTTTTCTTTTTTACCCCTTCCATATTTTTCTGCAGATGTACCCAATAATTGGAAAGAGGTATAGATGCAAAGACTGCAAAGAGAAAGTAGGTTTTGATGTCTGTGAAGCTTGCTACCATACAAGCTTCAAACTCCCCGGCAGATTCAATCAGCAACATACAGTTGAACACAGACTTGAATTCGATGATTCTAGATTGTTGTCTAAGATACTTATGCCCAACTCATTGTGACCCGAAAGCCCATTTCAACCTGAAGATGGTGAAACTGAAGATACTGATATATCTGAAACTACCATTGAAAATGAAGTATGATGTGAAATTTTGTAATAATAGCAAGTATTTGTTGGATTTAATCTAATAAATCTATTTGTGGGCACATATGATTAATCAATGTGTATTGCTATCTTTCAGGATAATCCACTAAAGTGATTAATTAATTTTGGTTAATTGGGTATTTAAATAAGTCATGGGGTTATATGTGCAGATATCAGGTTGTAATTGTGATTTGTTGATGGGCTAAATTACAAAAGTACAACATCTATAAATAAGGGGTTATGGTCTCTAATCTAGGGTTACATTCTCTAATTCTTTTCACCCCATCTAGAGAGAAAATTCGACTATAGAGAAACCCTAAGGTTAGAAGATCCAAAACCCATCTCAGGTTCATCTATGGATTCAGGTATAAGTAGAAGATCCAAAACCCATCTCAGGTTCATCTATGGATTCAGGTATAAGCTTCCGCTCTTTTGATTATTGTTAATCTCTTCGAATTTCATCTATGGATTCAGGTATAAGCTTCCGCTCTTTTGATTATTGTTAATCTCTTCGAATTAATCAATGGGTTTATGGTTTTAGATCTCAAGTTTTTATTTAGATCTAACAAGTGGTATCAGAGTCACATTTGATTAATTCTTAGGGATTTAAGTTTTAAAATTGGGTTTTTTGATCTTAAATCTCTGGTTTTTGGATTAAGATCTGTTCTCGGATGAACAGTAATGTTCGGATAAACAGTAACGGCTGTTGAAAATTTTCTTTTTCGGATGAACAGTAAATGTTTTTGGATGAACAGTAACTAGAAAATCACTGGTGAACAGTAATTTTTTGGAATTTTTTGGATTTTTCTTCAAATTTTTCTTGGTCTGGATCACGAAAATTTTTCCGATTCTGGATCTAGATTTGAAAATAAAACCGATGAATCTTTGGATTTTTTAGGTTTAATCTTCGGTCCCATGCTCCTCGCTGGCGAAGTTTCGCTGGCGGCCTCGCCCTCGGCGGCGGCGGCGTCAGGAAACCCTAGGGTTTCGACCTCTTGGATGCCGGAGCAATGGCGGCGGCGGTTTCAGTTTGAAACCCTAAGGGTTCGGTTGTGTGAACACATGGCGAAATTAAGGGCCGTGGTTACACTTCAAATTTTTGGCGAGGCTTGAAGCTTCAAACGAACCTCGCATTTCGGTCTCAATTTTAACGAACCTCGCGTTCGTTCTTAAGGTGAGCCTCGCGCTCAGGATTAAGGTGAGCCTCGCGCTCAATTTTTAACGAACCTCGCGTTCGTTCTTAAGGTGAGCCTCGCGCTCAGGATTAAGGTGAGCCTCGCGCTCAATTTTTAACGAACCTCGCGTTCGTTCTTAAGGTGAACCTCGCGCTCAGGATTAAGGTGAGCCTCGCGCTCAATTTAAACGAACTTCGTGTTCGTTCTCAGGTGAGCCTCACACTCAATTCAAGCTGAGCCTCGCGCTCAGTTCTCAGGTGAGCCTCGCACTCAATTTAAACGAACTTCGCGTTCGTTCTCAGGTGAGCCTCGCGCTCAATTCAAGTCGAACTCCGCGTTCATCCTCAGGCGAGCCCTGTGCTCAATCCAAACGAACCTCACGTTCGTTCTCAACTTGAACCTCGCGTTCATTTTTTCAAACGAACCTCGTGTTCGTTCTCAAGTTGAACCCTGTGTTCGTTTTCAGTCGAACCTCGCGTTAAATTTTCAAACGAACCTCGCGTTCGTTCTCAAGTTGAACATCACGTTCATTTTCAGACGAACCTCGCGTGTTCGAAGTTAAGGGAACTTCGTGTTCATTATGGTTAAGCCTCGGCTTTTCATGGGTCCACTTTGGTATACTTAATTTATTCAATTAAGTTATGGGCCCTAATTAAGCTGTGAGACCCCAATTAAGTTTTTGGAAATTCAGTTGATTTAAATTAAATTTTTTAATTTAAATCTATTTCGGTTTTTTAATTAATTATTTAATTCAAATATTATGACACTAAGGTATTAAGATTGTCTCTCACTCCAATTGATTAATTGAAATAAGAAATTGCCAAAGTAACCTCTCTTGTGTAGATTGTTCATGAGAAATGTGAGATGTTTGTGTGTATGCTTTCGTGTAAATATTTAATCGACCCAAAGGAAGGTTAATATTTATTTAGACTGTATACACATCTGCGATGATAAGCGTGTGACAATTATAAGGTTTACATGTGAATAATGAATCGATCCAAAGATAGTTTCATTATTTGACATGAGTTATTGTCAATGTTTGATCATTGCAACAAGGTATCACTTACAAGTTAATATTACTGTCCAAAGACTTGATATTAATGTTGTGCCGGTATCTTGGATGGGGATTGTCATTATTTGAATTTTATTGATTATGGTTATTGATGTGAGCATTTTTGTTTTATTTCAGCTAATGCATCTGCTGCAACAATTTCTGCTAACATCAACTCAATTCCCATGCTAAATGGGACAAACTTCAAGGTTTGGAAAGAGAACATATTAATTGTTCTTGGCTGCATGGATCTTGACTATGCATTAAGAACTGAACAACCCCAACCTCTCAATGCGGATAGCACTCCTGATGCAAAGAAGGAGCATGAGAAATGGGAGCGTTCAAATCGCATGAGTCTTATGATCATTAAGCGCGGCGTTCCGGAAGCCTTTAGAGGCATAGAATCCGAAGGGATTACTAAGGCTAAAGATTTCCTTGCCGAAATTGAGAAGCGTTTTGCGAAAAATGATAAGGTAGAAACAAGCACGCTTTTAGCTCGCTTAATTTCGATGAAGTATAAGGGCAAAAGAAATATTAGGGAGTACATTATGGAAATGTCTCATATTGTTTCAAAGCTTAAGGCATTTAAACTTGATCTTTGTGATGAGTTATTAGTGCATCTGGTTCTGCTGTCTCTTCCTGCACAATTCAATCAGTTTAAGGTCAGTTATAACTGCCAAAATGAGAAATGGACTCTAAATGAGCTCATTTCATACTGTGTACAAGAAGAAGACAGGTTGAAGCAAGAAAAGGAAGAATGATAATGAAGCTGCTAAGGGTCCAGTTCAGAAGAAACAACATAAGGATAATCAGGGTTGTTTCTTTTGTAACAAGCCTGGACACGTAAAGAAGGATTGTACAAAATATCACGCCTGACGTGCTAATAAGGGTACGTTCCTTACTTTGGTCTGTTCTGAGGTTAATTTAGCTTCAGTACCTAGAAACACTTGGTGGTTAGACTCTGGTGCTACTACTCACAAAGTGTTTCTATACAGGGTTGTCTGAGCTACCGAAAGCCAAATGATATTGAAAGACACATCTTTGTGGGCGACGGACAATCGGTAGATGTGAAAGCAATTGGGCACTTTAGGTTGTTGTTAGGAACTGGTTCTTATTTGGATTTGAAAGATACTTTTGTAGTACCGTCTTTTAGACGGAATTTAATTTCTGTTTCTGTATTGGACAAATCAGGTTATTCTTGTTCATTTGGAAACAGTCAATTCAGTTTATCTTTTAATTCAAATGTTGTGGGAACCGGTTACTTGAGTACTTGTGACAACCTATATTTGCTTGATACAATTGCTTCTTATAATGAATCCTTGCATGTGGAATCACGTGGTACTAAGCGTAAATTAAATAAGGAAAATTCGGCGTCATTATGGCATAAGCGCTTGGGTCATATCTCAAAAGGTAGAGTCGAGCGTCTTGTGTCTCATGGCATTTTGGATTCCCTTGATTTTTTGGACTTCGACGTATGTGTTGAATGTATCAAGGGAAAACAGACCAAAGTTAAGAAATTAGGTGCCAACAGATCTTCGGATGTCTTAGAATTGATACACACGGATATTTGTGGGTCATTCCCTACAGAATCCTAGAATGGTCAACAATATTTTATATCATTCATAGACGATTACTCACGTTATGGGCACCTATATCTTATTCATGAAAAATCTGAATCTCTGGACATGTTCAAAGCCTATAAAGCTGAAGTTGAGAATCAACTCAACAGAAGAATTAAAACCGTTAGATCTGATCGTAGTGGTGAGTACTACGGTAGATATGATGGTTCAGGTGAACAACGTCCAGGACCATTTGCTAGATACCTAGAGGAATGCGGTATCGTCCCACAGTACACTATGCCGGGTTCACCTAGCATGAATGGTGTAGCTGAAAGACGAAACAGGACTCTTAAGGATATGGTAAGAAGTATGATTGCTCATTCTTCTTTACCAGAGTCACTCTGGGGAGAAGCACTTAAGACAGCAGCTTACATTCTGAATAGAGTACCAAGTAAAGCAGTTGCTAAAACACCTTATGAGCTTTGGACTGGTCGAAAGCCCAGTTTAAAGCATTTACATATTTGGGGATGTCCAGCTGAGGCAAGACCTTATAGGCCAAATGAAAAGAAATTGGACTCCAAAACAGTTAGCAGCTACTTTATTGGGTACTCTGAACGTTCTAGGGGCTATAAATTTTATGATCCCACACTAAGGAATATTTTTGAGACAGGAACAGCAATATTCTTTGAGGATGTTGAGTTTGGGGGGAGAAATAAGGTTAGAGATATTAGTTTTGAGGAGGAATTGGCTTCAGATCCAATCCATACAGTTACTTTTGACAATATTCAGGTTCCTATACCTGTTGTTGCTCAAGAAGTAAATCTGGAACCTCAAGATGACAATGTTGAACAACTCCCTGTTCCAGAAGAACAAACTCAACAACCTCAAGAACCAGTGCCATTAAGGAGATCCACGAGAGAAAGGAGAAATGCTATTCCGGATGATTATATTGTATTTCTCCAAGAACATGAGGAAAGTAGTGGAATGTTAGAAGATGATCCAATCAACTTCTCTCAGGCCATGAAAAGTTCTAACTCTCAACAGTGGATTGATGCCATGAATGAAGAGTATAAGTCTATGCAAGACAATAAGGTTTGGGAACTTGTCCCATTGCCAGAAGGTGCAAAACCAATTGGTTGTAAATGGATTTTTAAAACCAAGCGGGATGCAAATGGTAATGTGGAGAGGTATAAGGCACGTCTTGTGGCTAAAGGCTATACTCAAAAGGAAGGCATTGATTATACAGAGACTTTCTCTCCGGTTTCATCGAAAGACTCTTTCAGAATAATCATGGCACTTGTTGCTCATTATGATCTTGAGTTACATCAGATGGATGTTAAGACTGCATTTCTCAATGGAGACATTGATGAGATGATCTATATGGTGCAACCAGAAAACTT